GGGGGGGGCCCACTTATAAGATGAATGGGAATATGAATCATGCAGATCTGTAAAAACCTAGGGGATGGGGGTCAACATTTTTCCCAAAAAGGAAAGGGGATCCTCCCCGGCAAAATTTTGATTTCTAGATGGCGGGAAACCTTTCTCGACTTTTAAGCTAGGTATCTAATGATTTTGTTCTTCAAAATTCAAGGTTTCCAAAGAATAGGGGGTCCGGGGGTCCTCCCCGGGAAAATTTTGATATCTAGAAGGCGGGAAATGATTTTTCCCGACTTCCGAGGTGTCTTTTAATTACTTTTAAGTTCTTCAAAATTCAAGGTTTCCCCCTCTTGAAAACGGTCCGGTAAATTTATCCCATTGTTATTACAGTAGATAGGCCTTATGTGTGTATATACATACATAAAAAAAATTGAGTAGTTGCATACGATTTTTTCCATGAATCCATAAATCCCAAAAAGAAAGGGGGGTCCGGGGGTTCTCCACAGGGAAAATTCTGATTCTTAGAAGGCGGGAAATGAGTTTTCCCGACTTCTGAGGAGTCTTAATTACTTTTAAGTTCTTTAAAATTCAAGGTTTCCCCTCTTGAAAACGGTCAGGTAAATTTATCCTATTGTTATTACAGTACATAGGCCTTATGTGTGTATACATACATAAAAAAAATTGAGTAGTTGCATACGATTTTTTTTCCATGAATCCATAAATCTCAAAAAGGGAAGGGGGTCTGGGGGTTCTCCACAGGGAAAATTTTGATTCCTAGAAGGCGGGAAATGAGCTTTCCCGACTTCTGAGGTGTCTTTTACTTTAAGTTCTTCAAAAGTCAAGATTTTCCCCTCTTGAAAATTATTATAATGAATCGATGAACCCAAAGAGAAAAGGGAGGTTCGGGTTCTTCCCGGGAAAATGTTAATTTCTAAATGGTGGGAAATGAGCTTTCCCGACTTCTGAAGTACCGTATCTTATAGCGATTTTAATTTAAGTTCTTCAAAACAGTCAGGTAATTTTTTCCCAATCCCAAAAAGAAAGGGGGTCGGGGGGTTCTCCCCTGGGAAAATTTTTATTCCTAGAAGCGGGAAATGAGCTTTCCCGACTTATGAGGTGTCTTTTAATTACTTTTAATTTCTCCAAAAATCAAGGTTTCCCCCCTCTTGATTCAATAGAACCAATGAACCCCAAAGAAAAAAGGGGTCCGAGTTTCCCCGGGAAAATTTCGATTTCTAGAATTCGGGAAATGACCTTCACTGACTTCTGAAATGTCTTTTAAATGACTTTTTAAGTTCTTCAAAATTCAAGGTTTTCCCCTCTTGAAAATGGTCAGGTAAATTTTTCTCATTTTTTATTTTATGTGTGTATACATAGACCTACATAAATAAATGAGTAGTTGCATGCGTATTCTTTTTTTCCATGAATTGATAAATCCCAAAAAGAAAGGGTGATCCGGGGGTTCTCCCCCGGGAAAATTTTAATTCGTAGAAAGCGGGAATGAGCTTTCCCGACATTTGAAGTGTG